TAGGTGTAGATCTTTCCTACCAGAAGATCAGGGGTGTGGCAGAAAGACAGCAGTAAGGAGGAGCCAAGGAGTAGCAGTAGCATTTCTGTACAATTGTGGTCCCGTTTGCTCTTAGATCTAGCGGCCCTGTAGTGAGTTTCTTTATAGATCTAAACTGAATTAAAATTATAGCCTAGGCTATCTAATCTAGATCTAGAATCTATAAATCTAAATATGTGTAGATCTAGACTAAATCTAGAGATAGATTATCAAGGCTATCTAGATCTAGATTTAGATTCACTTTCACAGTCACAATAGCCGTCATGTAAACAAACGGGACCGTAATTGTACAGGAGTGCCGCAATTTCTTTATCACTTTATCGCACCAAACGCAAAGTGCAGCAATTTTCTAATGAACTTTTCAAGTCGCACACCGGCTGCTTCTTTCTCATTTCAGCTCCATTTAAATTTTTCATGTTGCCTCAATTTCTCTCGAATTTCCGCCGTTTTCAATGACAACTCGGCGCGCCAACGTCCTGATGCTCGATCGACACTGTGTGTGTTGCTGCACAGACAACGTGAAACTAGCGCTTGGTCTTGGCACAGAAAAACAGAAGTAAGTACAAATAGCCTACAAAGCTACGGGCGGGGACATGCGCAAGCCGCGTTTTCGTCTCTCGCCCGGTTCGGTGTTTTCCGCGTGTAAAAAAAAAAAAAAAGTATCGCGATTTGCGAGCGAGAGCGGTCCAGCGGAGGAAGGAGGAAAATGGTGGGGAAATCCAGATGAAGCGGAGTTTCCGCTATTTAGCGGGAAAGTGGCAGCTATGAATTTAAACATGTATTTGTGAGGCATCGTGGTGAAATCATGCGTTCGTCAAAATATTGAATTCGGAGAAATAGGCTTTTTTTTCCACGTGTGGTAATTTTTATAATTTTTAAAATTTTCAGGATCAACACCTTTTATGTCCATTACAGCAACATGGCGGTGTGGATTTTACTGAAAAACATTGATTAAATGTACAGAATATGTAAAATTTCAGTTTTCAAGGATTTTCAAGCTTTGAAACTCACCAAACTTTGGCAGCCATTTTCTGACTAATTTTACCTCTGAAATCTGAAACCAGGTGATCCCCACCTCCTTCAGTCCAAAACATCTCGACTTTTATTGAAAATAACAGGGTAATTTTTTCATCAAAAGCAAGATAAATAAATACACTTTAAGATTATACTAATAACTCCAAATGCCTTAAAATTGTCGAGCGCCTGATTTCACCGCGATGTGACACATTCACTAAATATCCCAAAGGCCTAGACCAAAACGACATTAATTGAAGAGGCAGATCTATTTCCATGAAGATTTCTTATACTTTTCCTTTTCCATGCGATATTAGTCATCTCCTGAAAGTGCTCATCATACTGACTGACACCTTCTCTTATCTGTCCCCGTCGTTTTATGCAAGAAAAATTCTGAAATTATGCAAACTGAGCCAGAAAATGTGAAATTATGCAATTCTGTTAATTTTAACAAAGAATGATAAAGGAAAATAATTAAAAATTGAGCAAAAAACTTATTAAATTTTGCTAAATTATGCGGGGTGTATAAAACCACGGGGACAGTATAATGACAGATTCTGCATTAGCAACAATATTTTACGTTATGGTCTTCACAGAGCTGCGCTCTAACTCTAACCCTCATAGCCTCCTCAATTTTAGGAAGTTGCATGATAAATATGCCTGGATTATACAGTATTACATGTACATGTACTCTGTTTGTTTTCACTATCTTTTTTTCTTTATATTGATCATTGATTGTCCCATGTTCACTTTTGAGCTGTCTTTAAAAAGCTTATGTCACAACACATAAAATAGATGAAATGCACTCAAAATGGGAAAACTGACGCGCATGTTGTTTGTTGGTTTTTTAAATTATTTTATTTTATCAGCCATAGACAGGCCATTAGCCAAAGCTGGCCACTTGTATAAAAGGGTCCTTAGTCTGCTAGTCTTAGTTTAGTTTTAGTAGAGGTTTTACGGCGCTCGCAACTGCATAAGGTCATATGAGCGCCAGAAGATTAGAGGTCTTACAAGAGAGTAACAAACAAAAAAAAGAAGAAGGGGAGATAAGGACGATAGATGTTTGATAGGAAAGAAGAAGCAAACCACACCAGAGCACCCGCCAACCACCCACTCAGCTAGTCTACCATTGTAACCAATGTTAAGGAATAATAATAAATTGCACATTTAAATATAGCACTCTATGATACTCTATGCCATATAAGTATAAGCTCAGAGCGCTTCATAATATATCATTTTAAATTCGATCCTGCCTGTCAGGGCCAACTTCAGCTGAGAGAGATTCAACATCCCAGCAAAAAGACAGAGATATTAATATTTGATAAAAATTCTCCCCACTCGGAAATCAAACTCAGTTCTCCTGTGTGCAACAGCAGCGTGCCTGACCACTACTTCACAGATACGGGTAGTGTTTCATATCAATGCCACATGAATTAAATGCCCCTCCCAACACAGCACTGTCATTCAAAAGGTAGGATTTTCCATTTGAGTCTCTAGTGAGCCAAAAGGGCTATGGAAGCTCCTTAAACAAAAAAAACAAAAAACATTTATCAAGGATTCGAACGACAGTCGTCAGCATTGCAGTCCGACACAATACATTATACATGTAACAACTGAGATCATGGCACACCTTTACACTACAAATGGAAACAAAAGGCATGACCATTTGGGTATTTCAAGAAAAGTGGGCTTTGTGTCTAAACTAAAGATAAATGATTGGTATTTGTTGTAAAGTGCTTAGAGTATGCTTAAATTAAAAGTAAATGAAGTTATTATTATTATTATCATTTCGTGAGCTGGCATCTTCTTGAACAATAAAATAACTTCTGACATATAGCATCAATGCTAAGACACTCAACAACATAAAGGAATTTTTTAGAAAATAAGAAACTCAATTCTGATTTTTGACAGCCATTTTATTCTGCATACACATCACAAACATCAACCAACGAATACCACTTTCACCCACACTCATAACCAAATGAAAAGTGTGCGCAATAAAAATGTTGACAAACTCAGATCACAATGACAGCCTGTCAGAGATATTTGCAATAATAAATATCCTACTACTTGAAGATCGGGACAGCGTGAGGACTCTGTCAGCTAGTGGCGGGCTGGGGTTGTGGGCAGAAGAAGTTGAGTTTGTTTCTCAGGAGCGTGATGTCCACGGGCATGGCTTCAAAGGCTTCTCCGTCAATGTTGAACCATCTCTCCTGCAAGGACAGACAGCACTTTTTGTTTTAGTAAGCATGTTATGGCAAGTGGCACTAGCAACACAAATAGGTCATAAAAGTGTCAAAGATTAGAGGTGTTACAAGGGAGTAACAAACACAAAAGAAAAAGAGCAGCGATCAGGACGATAGATGTTTGATAGGAAAGAAGGAGCAGACATCATCGCACCACCCCGCCAACAGCCTGCACACAGTACAGCAAATCAATACTCACTTACTTTAACTTTCTCCAGTCTCTGTTACCTTAGGGTATTGAAGTGAGAAGCAAACACCTTTCTCTTGTTCGCTGTATTTCCTCTCACACGGTTCTATTGTTTTTGTCTAATGTTCCTCTGACACACTTCAATCCATCTTTTCATTAACCTTCCTCTTCATTTAAAACATTTTAATTTCAAAGTAGACTGAGAGCTAATGTTGTACGGCCTTTTTGCTGTCCCTGTCCCGTTATTCAGACGTTACGAGGCAGAAACATTCAAGAGCATAAATAGAAAAGGAGTAGAGAGAGCAGACCACACTAGAGCACCCATCTGTCATCAGCATCACGTCATATCCTTACAACATAGGCTCTGAATCATGGTAAAGCCCATTTCATAAGCACTATAACTTGTTCCATTTCACAATAAGAAACGAGTAAGGAATTGCAAATGTATGGCAGGCTTAGAGTCTAGTCTGATGCTCCTTTCAACTTAGCCAGTTCATAAGAGGTGGGACCTTTGACTCATCATTTACCTCCAATAGGACCGACTAGTACTGCCATAAGCTGATAAACCACCTTTGAATTTTGTTCACAGCAGTTTCGAGATAAAGAGACTTTTTGACAGCATAACCACTTTAAAAAGGCGTTCTTCCGAAATTTGAATTCTAATTCATTCAATAACTAGTTACAGTTTCACTCTGATTTATTTTTCACATTAGTAGGTTGACTGATCAGGCTTTTGATTCAGCAAATTAAAAAAATTTGGTGTCATAAATGAAAAAAGGCGGTTTTTTTCAGCTCACGGCAGAGTAGGTGGGATGTACTAAACAGGGCCGATGCCATCTTCTAATTAAAAAATCACATACATTGCGTTTTTTTCAAGAGCGATAGGTGTACAAATAAGTCAAGCAAAGATTGTTCTGAAACAACCCCTCCCTTTAAGACACTTTTAACAAAGCATCTTTATCAGAGCCTGTTCAGACTTCTATACCAACGCACTTAGATAGTTGAGGACACTGTTTTTAGGGAGTGACCGATCATATACGCACTCTATATTAAGAGTAGAGACAACTGAAGACAAGGAACTTAAGGACTTTGTGAGCAAGACAAAAATGCTTTGCTTAGCTAAGAAGAAACACAGCAACATAATAATGACCATATAGCACTGGGAAAAAGTAGGACAGACAGACAGAAACAACAGGGGAAAAGTAAAAGAAGTTCTTAAAATTTTCCAGTGGTACCCTCCAACCACCCGTGACAAAACTGTAAGTAAACATCGTATTTTACCTCCTCCTCCTTTGGCTCAATATGAATTTTCTTCGCCAATAAGCGCTGGTCATCTGGGGAGCCCATGCTGAACCCTCTCTCTTTCATCCTGCGCGACCTGCAGGACCAACAGGAACAAAGAGGGTGAATAACGAAAATTAATTGGTGTCAGTAGTATGTTCTCAAGAAATGTTTTGTCAAAATTCAAATGTTTAGAACAACAAGAAAAAATACATAAAGTAGATCCAAAAGTTTAAAGATTAGAATGAAAGTGTTTTTCTCTCTCAAGAAATTTTTAGATTTATAGGCTAAGAGCATTTGAACGGTTTGTCGATAATATGAGAAACTCATTGTTATCCATTCTGCTATTGAGTCAAAGAAACATAGGAAAAGACAAATGAAATCCTCCCCCACCC